CAGCGCTGTCCGAAGATGCCTCTGTGGTCATGTGGCCGGCATGACTCAATGCCAAAGGCGCACGGAACGCTATTCCCTTCCCACCAAAGGTGGTTCCTACTTTTCTACTTGCATTTTTTACGTGCTTTCAAACTGTTAGGTTGGCAGAAGCTGGGACAAGTAACAGGAGCTCACTCCATTACACAGTACTAGGGATTCTGATTGACAAGCTCAGCGTCTTAGCCACTGAGCCACTATGTCCCTTAAAAAGTATGATTTAAGAATATGTAAACAAACTGTCCAGAATAGCAATAGCCCTTAGACTTATATACCACTTCACAGTATTTTACAGCCCTCTCTAAGCGGTTTACAGAGTCAGCCTCTTGCCCCCAACAACCTGGGCCCTCATTTGACCCACCTCGAAAGGATGGAAGGCTGAGTCAACCTTGAGGCTGGTGAGATTTGAACTGCCAAATTGCAGGCAGCCAGCAGTCAGCAGAATTAGCCTGCAGCACTGCACACTAACCACTGTGCCATTCTGCACCAGAATGGTACAGTAGTCCTTGACTTACAACCACAATGGAGCCCCAAAATATATGTGGCTTAGCAAGACAGTTGTCGAGTGAATTCTGCCCCATTTTATGACCTTTCTTGCCACCGTTGTTAAGTGAAGCACTGCATCTGTTGAATTAGGAGCACGGTTTGTTAAGGGAACCTGGCTTCCCTATTGACTTGGCTCGTCAGAGGGTCACAAGAAGGGATCGCATGAGGCTGGGACTCTGCAACTGTCATAAACCTGAGTCAGTTGCCAAGCATCTGAATTTCGATCATGTGATCATGGGGGGGGGGATGGTGCAACAGACGTAAGTGTGAAAAAAAGTCATAACTCACTTCTTTCAATGCTGTTGTAACTTCAAACGATTGCTAAATGAACTCTTGTAACTCGAGGTGTTACCTTGCTAGGGTTTTTGCTGGGGTTTAGACTAGAAGACCTCCAAGGTGCCTTTCCAGCCGTATTATTCTATGTTCTATCTTGTGCAAAAGCTATTTGGTCTAAATGATTTTTCAGGCATAACCCTTCCTTCTGAGTGATCTCTCAAGTTTTTTCCCCAGTGAGGATTCGTTGGAGTGGCGAGTCACAGTTCTTTTTCGGTCTTTTGCAAAGAGACTGTGTCCGAGGTCTCCGTTGGCCTAGGAAGCACTAATTCCAGTTGCCCTTAAGGCTAACAGTTTTACCAGAGGCAGGAAAAA